TTGTTCGATTCAGTGCCTCTGGAAACCCCCGAGCCCTGCCCTGGGAGCCGGCGCATCGAGCAGTCCGGCAGTAGCGAAACCACTAACCACAAGTCCCTTGAGCCCATGCCGGAGGAAACTCACGGAAGAAACTCTGGGAAGAGCCGATGCCGGAGGAAGCGAGCTGCGCGCCCACCATCTTCCGCCACGCGCAGCGGGCATCCGCCGCCGCGACGCTCTCGCCACGAGCGGCGAAAAGCCTGTCCAACACAAGGGGGGGACCCCTGACAGGCCCTGAAAGGGCAGGCCAGCATGACCCCAGAAGGGGATACGGGCATGCAAGCACGAACGCAACGCTCAAAAATCCCCTGAGACTATGCAGCGGGGAGCTTTCGGAGGAGGCGGCAACGGCATCAGATCATAACGAGGGCGTCAGCACCAGACGCGCCGAGCTGGCGCCCACCTCCCTCCGCCACGCGAGGCGGGCCTCCGCCGCCCCCCGGCAGAGTCGCCACGCGACGCCCCCCCGCGCGGCGCGCAGGCGCTCGCGCCCCCCCTGGACCTCGCGGAGACTCCACGCGCGCCCGGCGGGAGCAAGGAGCTGCGCCGGCCGCGCTATAACATCCGCCGCCCGACGGCGCCGCCGCAGTCTCGGCGGGCGGCGCAGGCGCCCGCCGCTCGCATCGGACGCCCGGCGCGCCAGCGCCGGCGCCCACTGCTCACGGCGGGCCCTCAGCGCTCGCGCCTGCGGATCGTCCGGGGCGGGCCGCGGCAAGGATACTCTGCCCCCGGGCAGGCCGGCTGGTGCGAGCCTCGGCAATCCCCGAGGCCGCGGGCCAGGCGGCGGGCCCGCCGGCGGAAGCGAAGGACGCGCGTGGGCGCACGGCATCACCGACTGGCTGGAGGGGAAGCGCTGCTCGGGACCCCTCCTCCTTCCAAGCAGCCTGGGCTGGGGCGTGGGCGCTAGACTTCAGCAAGCTGGCGGCGGCCGGGGGCCGCGGGGCACCCGCGGGTCTGAGGATGCAGCGCGCGCCCTTTGTCAACGGCCCCATCGCGCAGCAGCGCAAATTCCCCGGCGCCGCGTTGACTTCCTCGCTTCCACGCCGAAGCCTGCGGCCACGCACAGGATACAGGATGGTCGCTACGTCGTCGGAACCGTTGGCGCGCGCACTCAAGTAGACGCCTAGCATCGCCTCGCTGAGCTCGTCGCCCCCCTGCTCTTCCGAATATGGCGGGGCCTTCGCCAAGCTGCGGGGCACCCCGGGCGGGGTGGTCCAGGCTCGCCCGAGGCAGACTGGGACCCCCCGCTGCCAGGGGGGCCCGAAGGGCGCTTCCAATGCCGAATGCCGAGTCGGCTTCCGACTTGCGGCATCCAGCCCCTCGTCGCCGACGAGGGGCACATCACAAGCGGCTCCTTCAGGGAGCCAGCAGACCGAGTGATTCCCGCGGGTCCAGAGAGGTTTTGCCTCTACACCCTCAAGAGGGAACCCTAGTGCCAGTAGGCGCGCGTCGCCAAGAGACCAGCGGGGCAACGCCGCAGCCGCGGCCGGGAGACCCTCGCACGCGCGCCCAGATGCGGGGCGCTGGAGGAGTTCCTCCAGGAAGCCTTCCCATTTTGTCCCACATTTTCATACGAATCGATGTCCAACTGTGTCTGTGTCTACTTTCCCCCCTGGCCTTGACCGCCAGAGAGCTTCCTTCCCCGCCCAGCACCCCAGCGTCGACGACCAGGCGTCCGTCGTCACCTCCGCCAGCTCTTGCCCAGGAAAACCACCCACTGCGGGCCGCCCGCCCAGCCGAATCGGACCCTGACCACCGCGCGCGCTCCATCCTCGCCGGCCACTTGGTCCGCGCGCGGGAGAGACACCGATGGCAACTCGAAGCGAACCGAAACTGGGCCAGCCGCCAGCCGGGGGCGCTGGCGAGCCCCATCGAGCGGGCCCACGACTCTCCCTAGCGGCCACCGGGGGGTTCGCGAGCGGGGGCGAACTCGATATAACCCCTTGCGACTCCAGAGCTCTGAGCCCGGCGCCCAGGGCTGCGGCTTCCGCGAGCTCGGCAGCGGAGACCCGCTAGCAAACCCACTCGGCGGCGCCGGGTGGGGAAACAGCCGGCTTCGCCTCCGAGATGGACCAAGCACGGCGGGGTACCCGCGGCAGTCCCAGCCGCCTGGCGATAACAAAGTTCCTGGAAGCATTTGTCTTTGAGCCTCGTGGTCCGATAGACTTGGCTGCGAATCCCGATACACGCGGCGCCGATTCTGCCATCGGAGGGCACGGGGGGGTCGGAGGCCCGGCAATCCCGCAGAGAAGCACCGCAGGCTCTGGCCGAGCGGCGCCGTATCAGGCGCTCGGGGCTAGAGGCCGAATCCTGCCCTTCAGCCTCACGCCGATCTTGGCAGCCTCGCCGGACCGATCTTCAGCCCCTGCCTCCGACTCCGACTCCTGCTCTAGGATCTCGCCTATGCCGTCTGCAACGCCAGGCGCCGCATCGCCCGCCCCACTGCGACGGCGGCGATGGAGGCGGCGGCATCCACCTCCGCAGGCCAGGTAGCCGAAGAGCACCAGACCGCGCCAGAGCAGCCGGCCTCCCACGGCGAGAGAAACGCCACACGAGGGCCAGGCATCGGTACGTGGATAGCGCGGGCACCGCCAGCGTCGAGGGCGGCATACCCCTGGTAGCCGTGACCGCGGCAGAGGTGGATCCTCTTGGGGTCGGCCTGCCCCAAGCGCTCCTGGATGGCGCGCGAGCTGGTCCCCCTCGCGGCGTCGAAGAGCTCCCGGGGTCCGGCACGGTCGGCGCGGCTCACCCCTCGGGGGTCGACACGGACCAGCGCCACGTGCCCATCGATGCCCACGGGGACTGGTCCCACCGCCCTTTGATCTCCTCGGCGGAGCAGTCGGTGGTGACACGGCTCGAGCAAAACAGTGTTTGTCGTTGTCTTTCTGTTTTCGTTTTCCAACGTTCTGTCTTCCTTCCGCCTCTGCTGCAGAACACAATCAAAACGAAACGGCCCACGAAATCGCCAAAACACCGTGTCGCTCGAGCCCTGCATGGTGAAGGTGGGCCCTGTCGCTGGATCCAGGTCACTGTCGTCGGTTGCGGCGTCGCCAGCGGCAAAAGCTTGTCGATTCCAGGTTCGCTTGGCAAGCTCTTGGGGCACGGACATAAACTGAGGACGCCGCTGACGGACCATACGCACCAGCCGCACGGGGTGCAGATGGCCCCCACGGTGTGCGCGGTCAAGGCCAGGACGCTGGTGAAGCTCACGGCGAGGTCAATGCCCGCGACGATCGGCCACGCCGCTCAGAGGCGGTAGTCGCCCACGTGGCCCATGAGGTAAATCATCCAGCCGCCATCGGTGCTGAGGCAGACGGATTCCTTCCGAGTGGGGAGGACGCCTCCTCCACCGCCTGGAACGCCCAACCTCCCACCCCCTGGCTTCTCCAGGACCAAGATCCGCCATCAAAGGACCCCCAACTCGGGATGCAGGCCCCCGCCCCCCGATAGGGGGCCACATGCGAGCCCTACCCCTGCCCCCCACGATTGCTGAGAAGGGAGGGTGGGGCTCACTTCGCTCGGGAGCTCCCGAACGAAGTGAACCCCACCCTCCCCCTCAGAAATCGTGGGGTTCAGGGGTAGGGTTCGCATGTGGCCCCCTACCCGATGCAGGACACCTCGGGCCGAGCAGCGCGCCGGCGGCTCCGCGCCCCGCCCAGTGGAAAAAGGCTGGCGGCTCGGGCAGGCGGCGCGCCGGGCGGGGAGCCGCCCGCCGGCGGCCCCTCGAGCACGCCAGGCCTCGATTCTTCGGCGCCCCGGGTGGTGCCGATGTCTCAACGGGCGAGGAACGGTACAAAACAAACTGTTTCGCTGTCGGGAGCCCCCGCCAAGGAGCCCCAAGAGACTCCCAAGAGGTCCCCAAGAGGCCCCCAAGAGGGCTCCAGGGCCGGCGGAATGAGCAAAGCGTTTAAATAGACTGTTTCGCTGTCGGGAGCCCCTGTCACAGGGCGGCTGGAGAGTTTGCACCCTTGCGGTGGCACGTCAAGCCATAAACTTTCCAGCCGCCCTGGGGCAGCGACCCCGATGACGGAAAAGATGAGTTTGTACCGTTCTTCGCCCGCTAAATGTCAGCGTGCGCGACCGAGTCGGCGCACTCGCACCCGCACTGGGCCCCGCCCACGGCGCGCCCCACGGCGCGTTGGCGCCAGCCGGGACGAGCAGAAGGGCGGCCAGCACCGCCGCGCGGCTGCGCGGGCCACGCGGCGGCCGACCCTTCCCTCCCGCAGAGCCGCGGCAGCGTGCTGCGGCCGCACGGCCCCCTGTACGCCACCGACCGCATCGCCGAGCGACCTGGGCCGCCCCGCGTCGGTTTTCAGAAACTCCTGAAATTTGCGGGCAACTGGAGCGCCCAGCCTTGGGCCGCCTGAGGCCGACACCCAGCTTGAGTAAGAAAGGCTTCAGCCCCAGAGGGGAAGAGAGAGAGAGAGAGGCTGGCAATGGCCGGAGCAAGATCGGGGAAAATCCGCGCACTCCTGGTGGTTGAGGAAGCCTAGCGCTTATACAAAAAGCTGATCCCGAGTCCTTCTCCGATGCTGGGGGGCAGAGGAAAAAGCCTCCGGGTACCGAAATCGGCGCAAGGCCTCCGCCTTGACTTTTTCAAGACGCCCTTCATCCAGCTGCCCTCGCAGGGAGGGCGTGCGCATCATGGACCAAGGAACGCGCGCGAGAACGATGGGGGGCCAGAGGATGTGTTCAGAGAAGAACGCTAGAGAGATGGACGCTGGGAGATCTCGTGGGCCTGACCATGACATCGACCTCCCAGTCCAGAACATCAGCGCACCACGGTCAGCGCCGCAGTGCCGCCAAAGGGGGCCCAGCGCCGATCCAAGAAATCCGCACAGACCTCCGACAGGTTACCCTTGTTCATTTTTCTGTTGTTCGACGGTCCTCGACTCCCTCTCGGACTGCCCCTCGCAGAGAGCTCTGCCCTGCCGCTGCTCGCACCACCCTCCCCGCCGAGC